ATGTGTAAGTAAAGTCCCTTTAATTGTGTGAAACTTTAAAACAAAAATATCAACTATTATTGACTGCTGAAAATCTTCTATATGGGAGGAATGGAGTCAGAGACTGGCTCTTGGAACTATATATTAATGTCTAACTATATTCCTTGTAACTATATCCATCTGGGAGACATACAAAAAGAGAAAAGAGATTAAAAATAATCTGGCAACTACATATGAAAATACCTTTAAAAATAGCTGTGCCTGGCTGGTGTGGGTCAATTAGTTGGGGCATCTCCTGTGAACCAAAAGGTTGTGGGTTCGATTCCCAGTCAAAGTACAGATGCAGGTTGCAGGTTTGATCCCTGGTCAGAAAGCATACAGGAGGCAACTGAATGATTTTTCTCTCCTCTTCTCCTTCCTATCTCTCTAATAGCTATAAAAACATGTCCTTGGGTGAGGATTAAAAAAAGCTGTATTTTCCTAATTAAATGTATGGGAAAATAGTTAAATTTAGAAGGTAAAATGGAAAACACCTTTGAGAAAATTTCTGTACTATTTTTCCAATAGGAAAACCATTTTATTTTTACAAAAGTTATTCATTTGAAGTAGCCAAACTAAACAGCACATTAATGCAAGTAATAGATCAGTGAAGTGTAAGAAAAGAAGTCTAAGAAAAGAAAAGTCTATATTTTTCAGCTCTTGAAAAATATAATCTGGGCTGCAATTGAGTGAGTTAATGCTGGTTGGCTTGCCCACTCTGCAGATTTGATTTCTCCTAGAGACTACCTACATGCAGTTCTCTGAAGGTCTATGAGCACAGCACTCTTCCTGACAAAGGACTCTTGCAATAGCATGAAGTTATATCCGGTGCCCTAAAAAATTTCACTGCATTTACATTCACTTCTGGGTCCGGCTCATAGGTGTCTTTTGGGGGAAACCTCATATCCCAGATGGCTTGATGGGCAATGAAATAATAGATATAAAAAAGACTATTAAAAGTTAAAAGTGGTGTATATGCATGTGTGTGTGTGTATATATATAACATCTTTGAATCCAGAATTTCAGAGTGAGTTACCCTGAGTCCCAGAACTTTAATCATGTAAATGATTCTTGCCATCCCTCCAACTAGCTCCAGTAAGAAAAGACAGGTTCCATTTCTGCTTTACAATCATATTCAGAGCTCATTCTAATGTTCAGATTTTCCATATTTGTTAGCCATAATGGTAAATGTAAAAATCTGAAATTATTGAGGGCATGATTTACCTGGCATGTATAAAACACTATAAGAGCCGTGAAGTATCACAGTATGAGGAGGACAAGGTATGTCTAAGACTGTGTGTTCTGGAGTCAGACCAGCTCTGCCATTTACTATCAGTTACTTTTCCTTTACCAGGTTAGGGAAGTTTTCTACCATTATTTCTTCAAACACATTCTCTATCCCATTCTCCCTTTCTGCCTCTTCTGGCACACCTGCTATTTGAATATTGTTATGTTTCTCATTTCCCACAGCTCCCTTAAGCTGTACTTTTGTTTTTTAATTGGTTTTTTTTTTGGTTCTCTGATTGATTTTTTTCAACCCTGTCTTCTAATTCATTAATTCAATCCTCAGTCTCCCCTAATCTGCTGTGTATTCCTTCCAATGTGTTCTTTATTTGTGCTATGTCATTCTTCATTTCTGTTTTTAAAGTTACTATATCTTTTCTCATGTTGTTGAGCATCTTTACCATCATTAATCTGAACTCTATATCAGATAAATTTGTTATCTCCATTTCATTTATCTCTTCTTCTGGAGAGTTCTCTTGTTCTTTCATTTGGGAGTTGTTTCTTTGTCTCCTCATTTTGGCTGCCTGTTTGGGTTTGTGACTATGAATTAGGTAGATCTGCTACACTTCTCAATTTCTAGTGCAGGGCAGTGTTAAATGCTGTTTCTGACCAATTATATCAGGCACAGACTCAAAGCCTTCAGAAACCACTTCTGCCTACAGACTGATAGGATTCCGTCTTGAATTGCCCAAGGACAATTGTCCACAGGTGTTGTTTTTGTTTTTTGTTTTTTTAACAGGGTGGGGCAATTGCGTCTGCCTAGAGACTAATTGTTATTCTCAGTCTCTTAATGGGCCTCAGCAATTCCTCACCATGAGGCAAGGTGTTTTCCAATAGGGAGAGTCAACTGTCTGTCCCTCAGACAAAACTGCCTGAATAGTAATTGTCTGTCTGAGAAAGATGACCTACACAGTGTGAGGGAATGACTCAGCACAGGAAACCGGGGTGTCTGCCTTCTGAGCTCTAAACCCAGAGCCCCTGATACTGGCTTCTGCTCACACAACTCCAGTCCACTCTGCCTTCCCTCTGCCAGAGCACAAGGTTTGTGGTTTCACAGGGAATTTTTTGAATTGGCCCTTTAAGAGGGCCTCTGAAATCCACCTGCCTTTCCCTGGCAGACAGCAACCCTGCTGCTTTTCACAGCCAGATGTTATGTGGGTACCCTTTTCAGTTCTGGCGCTCTCTGCTGGGGGGCTCAGCTTGGAGATTAGACTCCAGAGTTCTCAGTGGCAGCCCCCCTCCCCTACAGCTGAGATATCTCTCCAGAACTTCAGCTGCTGTCTGTGGGAGTCTGGCCAGCCCTTTCGCACCTCCATCTTTCCTATGAGTCTCTGTGTGGTCTCCACTTTCTGTCCTTGGTTATCAGGGTTCTCTCCAGATTATTCAGGAAGTTTTTCAATATTTTAGTTGTAATTCCAGTTTGGTCCTGGGAGCATGTCCATTCAGCATCTACTTACGTCACCACCATTTTTAATCTTATCACCAGTTACTTACTATGTAACTTTGGGCAAGTCTCAACCTCAGCATTCTTATATGTAAAATAAAGTTAAAAATAGTACTATCTCACAGAGTATTGTGAGGATAAAATAAGATAATGTGTATAAAAAGCACAGGTCAGTGTCTGGCATATGAGATGAGATTTATAAAATGAGAAATTTTTAAATTTAACACCTGTTCTTCATTTAGATCCATGTCCCTTTATCCAAATATTTGTGAAATTGTGGCATTTTTTAAAAATTCCTCATTAACAAAAATTCTTTTAAATATTTTCATTGCTTTTTTTTTAAAGAAGCATTTCATTGATAACTAATTAGTTCTTGGGACAAGATGGAATGCTGACATAAGCATGATGACACATCCCAGCAGCACAAATGGCTGGAGACACAGGATCAGGGATAAAGGAATAGTTCCCAAAGATGGAAGAGATGAATAGAGAAATATTTCAAATATATGGGTTTTATTTAAAACAGAGATGTATCTAAGATATTTCCTAAGTGGCAAAATGGAGGAGAGGAATAGAAAAGGTGGTTGAATTCTTTAAGAACAGTCCATCCTTAAAATTTTTAAAGGTTTCTCTGATTTTATAGTCAGAAGGGATATTGTTAAACTTTCCCATGCAATATAAAAGATTGTTTGTATCTAATTTCTGAAATGAAATAAGGTTAACAAAAATTAATTAAGCACTCTTTCATTTAAATGGACCCAATGATCTCAGTCCCTGTGAAGCATTTGAGTCACCTTTAAAACCAACTTGTAGTGTGAATAGAGACAGTCTTTACCTGCAGAAGACCATGGCACACTGGCTCTTTTTATTCATGATTCACATCACCCTTCATGGCCTTCACATTCGCATGAGTTTCAGAGGCTGAGCTTCACAGCTCTTTCAACTGACTGCTGCACTGCAGTTCCCACAGCCCCTTACACTGCCCTGTGAGACCTACTCCCCACTGGGAGCCTGGCACAGTGCTCACCATGCCCACAAGCACCAATGCACCTGATGGCATGGAAAACCCAACTGCCTCATCACTCTCCATTAAATGCCCACCAGAGAACCAAAAGCCTTCCCCTGAACATGCTTTGAGGGAGACTAAATCCATGGTGCCTTTCAGTAAAAAATAGTGTAAAAGCACTAAGGTGCCCAGACTGGATGAGGCTCTCAACACACACTCCTGCAAGCCTCCACCTTCAGGTGCTAAAATCTTTAGCTCCTCACTGCTTTAACCATGCTGGACATTTTCATACAATGTAGCCAGATTCTTTTTAGGCTTGAATCAATAAAAATTTAACAGAGAATTCAACCCCTGCCCCCCCCCCCCCCGCTTTCAGATACAAGCAGTGATAAATATATAGCCTTCCAGTGACACACACTAACAATCCACAAGGGAAGGGCTGGACAAGTGGCCCATGTGTGCTTAGCCCCAGTTTGTTGTGTTAGGATATAACAGGGGTACACAGTAAAACTCAAGAGCCGCATTGGCTGTATAGACAATGAAAGGCATTCACACCACCAGTCACCACAGCTGGCTGTGTTTTCTGCAGTGGACCTTTAATATATTCGATAGAGGTATAAGTGAATCAGATCGGCTTTACCATTTTGTATCACATTTTGCTTTATGATGAGCAGCAAGCCAGAGTCTATACAGACTTGGGATTTAGACATATAACCAATAACATATCATGAGAAAGAAACAGGTTTGCATGCTACAGTGCATCAACAAAGAACCATCCCAGCATTAACAGCTCTGCTGCTATTTGAGGATGTCTGTCTCAAATGCTCTCTGGTAAACTTCTTAGAAAGAAAGCCTCTGCTCTGACATACAGTTACTATTGTACCCCTGCCAATGTAAAAAAGGTGAAAATAATGTAGTGTGCTTATCTGTGTCATGTAAGCAAAAAAGAAAAAAGCAATGTGCTTCACACAATTCAAGCTAAGTTATCCATATTCCCTGAGTCAGAAGTCCATAGCTCACAGAGAAAATCCAGTAATCCAATTTTAGTTTGCTTTGATTTTGAAGCCTTGTGTTTGTCAGAAGATGTGAAAGTCTTGGAACTGAATCATAAAATTTGCAAAAATGTGATATACTGAAAAAAAAAATAGACAATTCACCCAGTCATTGTGAGCCCAGGAAGTGTGATATTCCTCCCAGACATCAGCTGCCCACCAGCCTCATGGAATTTAAGCCCTGAATGTCACTTACCCTATGACAATACAGGAGATGGCAGTTCCCAGGAAAGCGTATGTTAAAATAGATCCTAAGTTTTGAAAAAAGTGTCTCTGGGGAGAAAAATATATATTTTTATTGTCTGTCAGCATTTTTCTTAGTGTAACAGGAAATAAAAATCACATGCATTTTACTGCCTCCTCCTTTCCTCACTGCTTAGGCAAGTTTTGTTGTTGGAGCCCCAGTTCCTGGCCTTCTTGTACAATAAGACTTACTTAATCTACACTGCAAGGACAGAGGTTTCTCAAAGAAGTTGGGGAAACATCTTGAAGGTGATGGGGTAGAGATGACAGAAACAAGTCCCAGGCCTGGCAGGTGAAGAGAAAGGAAGGGACTGGGCAATGTCCATGCAGGGCTCTGGCAAGAGAGTTTTTAGGAAGCTTGCTGTCACTGGAACCACTTAGCATTTAAAAATGCCATTCTAAAATATTTAAGTCGGTTGCCTTTTTACTTTTATTATTAGATCTCTGACTTACATGTTATGAAACAAACTTTAATCACCTACAAAAATTTATTTTGAAGACATACAAAATGGCACCCTAGTATTGGGGCTGTGTGAAGAAGAATGACCTGAATAAATCAGCCTCCTAAATCTTTTCAAGGGCTTGCTTGGGAAAACTCTCCTCCAGTTCTGTAAGTGGGGCCTGAGTAACCAGAACTGACAGCAAGAGGGAGCCCAGAGTCCACAAGAAAATCAGGTCTGCACTGAGCAAGCAGCCCAGCGTCTGGCATAGGAACCCACAGACCCACAGGCACTGCCCAGGAATCTGGGCAGGAGGGCAGCAGAACAGCAGCCTCATAGCCTCTGCCACTCAAACTGAGGCCAGAGCCTCACTCTGGGATGGGTCATTGCCCTGCCAGCCCTGCACAACAGGCTGCATCTGAGTAATGGCAGAGGTTCTTGCAGCTGTGAGGCTGGGCCTCCACTCTAGGAGCACCAAGGGCAGAGCATAAGCACAGCTTTCCTGAGCTCTCACTCTGCGGGCTAACTCCATGCTAGTTCACCACCTAATCTTGATTACACCCACAGAATATCAATGTCCAATAGAAATATAATGTGGACCATGTATATCATTTAAATTTTTCTAGTAGTTACATTAAAATATGTTTTAAAAAAAGCAAAATTAATTTTCACAATATTTTTATTCAACCCCATATACCCCAAACATCATTTCTACATGAAATCAAATATACAACATTATTGAGATATTTTACATTCTTTCTTAATACTAGGTCTGAGAAATCCAATGCATGTTTTACACTTAAAGCACATCTTCATTCCGACTAGCACACTTCAAGGGCTTAGTTGCTGCATGTGGCTAAAGGTCGGTGTGTTGGCCAGAGCAAGTTCAGAAGAATTCCAAGCATGTCAGATTTTAACCTATATAAAATAATCTAAGATAATGATATTTTTACCAAATAGGTAAACCCATAAAATAACTGTTTTTTCAGTAGTGCTATTTTCCTTGATGATAAGGAAAATAGTCACCATAAACTTACCTTCTTCAGGCTATATCCTGCATGAAATATAATTGGTGGCAGTAGGACATTGAAAAAGATTTCTGGGTCAAATATCATCTGCCAAAAAAATAAAATAAAAATGAAACTGCAGTTAGGAAGATGCTCCTTTGGGTCACTAAAACTGTGTTTTAAAAATACAATTATATCACCTTCTCTAAGGTTGTATGAGGCACATAAAGAGCCTATCATATTGGCAGAAATAAAAATAAGAGAAAATGTGAACTTAGACATTTGTCAGTGCAATATAACTATAAGGTAACATTTAATGTGTATTTTCTAGAGCCAACAGCAACACATCCCAGTGAAACTCTGCTGGGCAAAGAAAACTTTTCCCTCTTATTTTGCTTAGTTTTTAAATGTTTTGAGTATATGTGATTGAATAAAAATATTCTGAAAATTATTGATTTTGAGACAGAGAGGAAAAGAGAGGGATAGAGAGATAGAAACATGGATGAGAAATGTCATCTATTGGCTGGCTCCTGCATGCCCTTTACTGAGGATCAAGTCTGAAACCCAAGCATGTGCCCTGACCAGGAATTGAACCAGTGACCTCTTTGTTCATGGGTTGACATTCAACCACTGAGCCACACCGTTTATTGGCTTTTATTTCAATGTTAAGTTAAACTTGGCCATAAAAACTTTACTTGGTGTGAAGTCCCATAAGATAAGATGCAGAAATTTTTGAACTCAGTATCTGCAATTTGTTTGAAAATGAAAATATTTAATCTTTAAAACATTCCTTAGACTCATCCTCTTCTTTCCCACTCAACCAGAACATTTCAAAAATCAGAGTGCGCCATTCCCTGCATGAAAGTTAACTAGTGCTTTTTGAGCTACATTTCCTAGCACAGCCAGAGGAAACTGGCAGGCTGAGAATGGCATGCAGCATGCTCATGTTTATTTTTGTATACAAAGCAGATTTGTGTTGCTCTCAGACTTGCTATAAACACAGGAACTGCTACATCAGAGTTCTGGGAGTAATTCCAAACCTAGACAGTTTCTCAGAAATGGCTGGATCTGCACTGCACCAACTTCCAGATGGAGATCCCATGTGCCATTTCTGCATGTTCAAACCATAGCCTTGGAGATGAGTCTGCTTTTAAGGCAAAAACAATTAAAATCTCTTATCTATACTAATAAAAGTGTAATATGCTAATTAGACCAGATAGACCAAATGTCTCACAGACATCATTCCAGACATCCTTCCTGACAAAGCTGGGGGTGTGGTTGATCTGCAAACTTCCCGTGGCCCCTAGCCCAGGCCGGCCCTGCCCCCCACTGAGAACCCCCACCCTGATTGGAGGCATGGCCAGCCTGCAAACCCTCAGCGGCCCCTCACCCAGGCCAGCCCCACCCCCCAGCAGGGACCCCCACCCCAATTGGGCACTTGGCCAGCCTGCAAACCCCCTGGCCCCTCACCCCAGCTGGCCCCACTCCCCAGTGGGTCCCCCAACCCTGATATGGGGCCCCCTTCAGGGCAGGCCAGCCAGCCCCACCCATGCACCAGGCCTCTATCCTCTCTAATAAAAGGGTAATATGCAAATTGACCCTAACAGCAAAACGACCGCTGGACCAGTCACTATGAGACACACTGACCACCTCTTGGTCCTTTTCCCTGGCCATCAGGCACTGATCACCTGATGGTGAATGGGGAGCCGGGGGGTGAGTGGTGGTGGGGGGCAGGGCTGGCTGCGGGCAGCTGGAGAAGATGGCCTTGATCACAGGCCAGGCCGAGGGACCCTACTCATGCACGAATTTTGTGTGCTGGGCCTCTAATTATAAGGAATTATAAGGAATTATAAGGAATATCTAAGATAGGGGTGAAAGGGAAGAGTAGAAAGATAAAAATATTTCAGCTAAAGACACTAGGTATTTAAGATACAAATATTGAGACCAGCACATCCACTACCACTTTCTGTGACAATGGAAATTTCTGTAACTGGACTGCACAGTGTGGGAGCCACTAGCCATGCAAGTTATTGAGCAAGGGAATGTAAGCTAGTACAACTGAGGAAGTGCATCTGTGTCTAGCTGCTATTGGACAACACATTTATAGACAGTTACTAGAATTTAAAAATTTTATCATTCAGTGTTTAAACAATCTATCATCCTATACAAGGTATGGCAAATTTGGAGCAATATACCTGAAACTATATGGAAGAATTATGGATTCTTCATGAAAGCAGTACGATTTTCAATTATTGGGAATTAATTCTTAAAATATCAGATGGCATGGGGGACACAAAAATATCAATATGTTCACCAGGATGCAATAGTGTTCTCTATTATCTCATACTAGAGGCCTGGTACACAAATTAATGCATGGGTTGGGTCTGGCCAGCCTGCCTCAATCAGGGCTGATTGGGCCAGGCTGGCCAGGGAGAGGGGCCACGGGCAGTTGACAGGCTAGCCCTGCCCCCTGGTTGAACTCCCAGTTGAACTCCCAGTCGAGGGGATAATTTGTATATTAACCTTTTATTATATAGGACTAGAGGCCCGTTGCAGGGAGATTCCTGCAAGAATAGGGCTTCCTCGGGCCTATTCCTGTAAGAATAGGGCTTCCTGAGACCGGAGCAAAGCAGAGAAGGGAGCGAAGCCCACCGAGGCAGGCTTTGCTCCTTCTCTGCTGCCTCGGCTCTCTCCCTTCTCTGCGGCTTCGCTCCCTCCCTATTCCGCTGCCTCGATTCCCTCCCTTCTCTGCTGCCTTGGCTCTCTTCCTCCTCCACCACTTCACTCCCTCCCTTCTCCACTGCTTCGGCTCCCTCCCTTCCCCGCCACTTCACTTCCTCCCATGTCCGCGGACTCAGCTCTGCTCCCATCTCTGCTACCTCTGATCTGTTCCCTTCTACGCCATTTGGCTCCCTTCTGCAGTGCTTGGCTTCCTTCTACACTGTCTTCAGTCTTCACTGGGCACCTGTGTATGCAAATTAACCACCATCTTTGTTGGGTTAATTTGCATACTCCTCTGATTGGCTGGTGGGTGTAGCAAAGGTACAGTCAATTAGCATCTTTGTCTTATATTAGTGTAGATATGCACCAGTATTAGGCTAGAAATGGCCTAGTCATATGTTCACAGAGATAATCAACTTGAAAACTTTCAAGAATAGAAAGGAAATGTACCCAGTTAAATTTCCAAGTTCATTAGACAGTAATAGGTACAAAGTTTCATTTGGGCCTGAGTATTAAAGCATCTGACAACTTAATATGACTTATCTGAGAAGAAATACCACCTTAATAGAGGACTGTGATTTATGTGACATGCTACTTCCAAAGAGCACTTCAAAAACATTATTTCACCAACTCTGACAATATTCCTGAGTGGCAGCTGGAAAATGCAATGATCCCCATTTCCAGAGACAGGAGCAGAAATGCACACTGCCCATCGGTGTGACAGGGACATCACAGGGCATTGGGTGCATATGCATGGGCAAGCTAAACGTGTTCTAACATAACTGCTTAAAGCAAGATTTAAGAGTGTTTAAGAGAATTTGGGACTCAGAGTAGTCCCAATTTCAGCAATTCCCAATTCCTTTAGAAAAGTAAAAGTGGTTAAATCAATAATGTTTTTGATAATCTCCAATGCTTTATTTGTTAAACATTTAATAGCTCTCTTCTCTGCTGCAAAGTTGATGGGTAGACAGAATTCATGAAGTTCACAGTCAAGGAAGAAAAGACTGAAATTTCAGTACAAGGCAGGGAGCTAAACTATAATAGTTCTCTATGACAGAGAGCAGTCTGGACTTGCTGACCCTACAGACAGGCTTGGTGTTGAAACAGCATATGAGCTGGGTTTTGAAGGATGGTTAGGAGCCTATCTGTAGGGCATCAACATGCAGAACCCTGCTCTCTGCCTGACTGGTGTAGCTCAGTTGTTGAGCTTCGACCCAGGAACCATGAGGCTGCCGGTTCAATTCCCAGTCAGGGCTCATGCCCAATTGAGGGCTCAGTCCCCTGTGGGGGGGCATGCAGGAGGCAGCCAATCGATGATGTTTCTCTCTCATTGAAGTTTCTATATCTATTCCCTCTCCCTTCCTCTCTCTCTCTCTCCCTCTCTCTCTCTCTCTCCCTCTCTCTCTCTCTCTCTCTCTCTCTCTCTCTCTCTCTCTCTCGCTCAAAAATCAATAAAAACATTTAAAAAAAAGAACCCTGCTCCTTTGTCTGCCCTGAGGGCAGTGGGCCAGGATTCACCAAGCCACAGAGGAAACACAGCTTCCTGGAGTTGCAGTTCTACTTGATAACAATCAATTTGAAATACTAAAATAAATGCAGCTATATTAAAAAGTGATATTCAAAATGTGTATATATTTTGAACACAAATTGGATACTTCAGAGAGATACTCCTGGCAGCAGCTTTGGGATGCGGAGACAGCTCAAAGGTAGGCATTTCCTTCCCTATGCCCACTTCATGCTTTGGGATGAGAAGCACCAGGTGGGAGAAAAATAGATTCAGTGTATCTGATGAAAATATAGCAGACACTAATTAGATGACCTGTTTAACATCTCTGAACCCCAGTTTCTTCATCTGCAACATGGGCATGCAAAAGCCTACTTCCTAGAGTTGCTTTTGTGGATTAAATATAAAGACAGGTGTTAAGGGTTCTACTTCCCACCAGCCCTGGTTGTTTCTCCAGTAGTGTTCGGTGTAGCTGAATCTAAATGAGGGAAACTGTCGAAGCAATGGGTGGAGGACAGGTATATTTGGAAAACATGGATAGACACATAGGGCTCCTGAGGTATGAGGAGGAGGTTAAGCCCTGGCATATGAATGCTACCCAGACAAGGAATCTCCCTCTGACCCAATGGAGATGGATTTAAACTGTATTCATTCAAACGTGGACAATAGTAGAGACATTTAACATAAGCAGGATTAAACAAGAAATGGCTTAGTGGGAGTATATATCTGTATAATTTTTTAGGGCTAATCATTAGGTAATGTCAGATGTCCATAGTGTTTGATTCAGCAACATGTCATCTGAAAATCTGTCCTACAGATATGCTTACACACGAGTGGGATGACATAAGGACAAGAATAGTACTGCAGATAAAAGAATGGAAAA